AAATGCTTCAACAACTGAGACAACAACATAAAACATTTCACAGAATGTTTTTTTTTTGTTTTTTTAACAAACAGAAATGGAGTTATGAGTCTCTGAACAAAGGGGGTCAATATCAATCCTCAAGTTTTCCAAAACATCTAGGGCTTCATACAGTGTGTGCAGAATTATTAGGCACGTTGATTTTCTGATCATATTTTTTTTTCAGGCACATTTTATCAATTCCAAACCACATTTATCTTAATAACTACTATTCATTTTGTATTTAATCATTTACAAGTGATATATAATTGTTTATGAAGGCTGGAAATGAAAAACGCCTTATATTCAGGGTGTGCATAATTAGGCATGTTTTCTTTTACAGATAAAATAAGCCAAAAAAGAGAGGTAAAGAATCCTTAAAAATGACCCCCACTTAATAAGAATCACTAGCTGAAGTGTAGTAGAATACATGATCTTCCAGAATCTGACAGTAACTTTTGGGAGTTAATTTTTAGTCCATCTCTGCAAAACGGACTTCAGGGTAGGAGATGGACTAAAAATTAACTCCCAAAACTTACTGCCAGATTCTGGAAGATGAATTCTTCAAACAGTGGTACAAGAGGATGTGGTGCTGGTCCGTCAAGAGTCACTCTCGATCTGTCTGTCTATAGGGCCTATAAAAAAAACAGTCTTCATGTATTTTACCAACTTCAGCTTGTGATTCTTATTAAGAGGGCATCATTTTTTAGGATTCTTTACCTACCCTAAGTCTCTGAGATCCTGATATCTTGCTCTTCTGGAGACTCCAGGTTGCAGTTCTGGAAAATGGCGGCGCTGGAGACTAAAGAGTTCCTGATGGTTTCACGCTTAATTCTTCACGTTAATTATTTTACAGCTAACATGCGTCTTTTCTTCTCCACCTGTTTTCCTCTGACCCAATGAGCATTTCACTGTCCAATGGGTCAAGCCTTAACTGCAATTCCTAGTATTGCATCCTTCTCATGGGCATTTAATAATTTGTGACTTTTCAGTCTGAGTTAAATCTCTTTTTTTTGGCTTATTTTATCTGTAAAAGAAAACATGCCTAATAATTATCCATTATTATCCACCTGAATATAAGGTGTTTTCATTTCCAGCCTTCATAAACAATTATATCACTTGTATATGATTAAATACAAAATGAATAGTAGATATCAAGATTAATGTGGTTTGGAATTGGTAAAAATGTGTCTGGGAAAAAAAATATGATCAGAAAATCAACATGTCTAATAATTCTGCACACACTGTATGGTCACATGTGGTTTGGCACTGCAGGACGATCAGCTGTCTCCCTGTAGCAGTGTTAAGCGTCTTAAATTACAGATGATGGCTTTCCTATTGAAGACAAAAGTAGAAACAATTATTTTACTTAATCTGGTTAATGCACAATATGTAAAAAAAAAAAAACAATGCTATTATTGTGTAATACATCAGTAAATGTTGGAATTAACACTAGCCAAGCTTAATAAGTGATGACAAAATGTTTACCTTTACATTTTGTAAACTACTGCAGTTAGCTGTTGCACACAATTCTGCAGTTGTCAACTGACTAGACAGCTTGACAACAAAAGTAAACTCCTAACTTACTTAATTACAGCCCACAGAACATTTAGAAGAAAAAAAAGGAAATAAAAACTTGCCCCTTTTCACTACGCACGCGTCAAAATGCTAGGTGCATAATATGTAAACAATTACGGTCGGACCAACAGTGCTAGCTTAAATTATGCTGTATCATACTTAAACAGTTAAAGTAGAGAAATACAAATAATCCAATGAAAAAAATAAGTATTTTACTTACCAGAATCGTGTACCAAATGTGTACACTGTATATTGTTGCTTAGTATCCATTCTTCTCACTGCTGCAATCCAGGCGCGAATTCATATCGAAAATCTAAACGCTTTGATTCTAAAGTTAGTTCCGGGCCTGAGAGAACATCCAACCACTGAACAACATGCTCCTAATTTTAATTTTGACATGTTTTATTCGCATGAATAAGAAAATTATCGCACAATTGCCGTATATAAAGAGTAAATAAAGCGCCTCCCGCCGTTGTTTCGAATGTGCGCGCTAACTAACCGGAAACTTCTGAGGGCCAAACACGTCACTTCCTTCTATCTACAAATAGCCGTTGAAATGGTCTATATTGTGCTTTCCTTCAGTAATTTCACTTGTCTATGAGTATTGTGGCCTGATTTTATGCTAGGCTATATCTCAAATTTACTGATATTAAACTCCCATATGGAAAAGAGCAGAGTAAACATTCAACACAATTTTATTTGCTTTGAACCATGAAAAGCCAAATTATTACATAAACAAGAATGAACATAAATACTTCCAGTCACTTTCACCTTCATTGTGAGCTCATTCAAGCTTTAGACCCTTCCAGCCGATCTAGTCTTTACGGGACGTCCTGATTCATTCTCCCTCGGGTACCTGTACACAGGCCCGCCGACAGGGGGGGACAAACGGGTCTGTTGTCCCGGGCCCAGGGTAGGGAGGGGGGCCCAGAACTGGGCCCTCATTAAATTATGGAATAATTGTTAAAAAAATAAATAAAATAGGCATATTTGTTGAAAAAATATCTAATATTTGAGTTACATAAAAGCTTTTTATTCGTTTTCTTCCTAATTGTCCTTGAAATAGTGGTCAAGAACCCCGTCACCCCCTTTTAAAAAGGTGGTGACGGTGAAGCTGGAACTAACGTTAGTAAAGTCAACGTAGAGCAAGGTAAGAAACAGCGCAGGCAATGTTTATGAGTGTTGTCAAAGACCCGGCACTTCGGTACCAAGTCGCAGGGCCGGCCCCCCACCCACCCCTTTAAAACATTATAAGTATTTATTGAACTAAACATGCTCTTATAGTTACTCAAAAACTTAAACAATAAATTGTTCATACAAATGCTACAAAGAACGTTCAAGGATATTTATATCATAGTATCATAGTTGCATTGTACAACTATATTTTATCTGACCATAAATAACTTTTAGTAGATAAATTACAACTACTACCACCACTAGGCCTACTATTTATACAATCTATTGGGCTGCTACATGGTTAAGGTGGTTTCGGGGGTATTTCCCCGTAAGAAAATTTTGTGCATTTTAATGTTAAATTCATCAATCTGGTGCACTTTGAGAGTTCAAAACTAAAAGCTGCAAACCATATTCAGTGTGCAAATTGTACAAGGAAAAATTCAAACCTCTTTTAATTACAGTGTCTGTCTAAATTACACTACTACATAATAATAGATATAATATTAATCCCATGACAGTAATTGCCATAGGCTATATTGAAAAAAAAATGCACTGAAAAATAAAGGAAACTTTCATGAGTATTGTAGGCTACAAATGTCTATACTTGAAAAAGTAATTTAGAAGTAACTTTAAAGTATCCTGCGCCCACATTAAGCCACCCCCACTAACATACAATACGAATGGCCACGATGTACGAGTTTATGGCGCATTAAGACAAAAATAGAAAAATAAAAGTATGAGATATGTATTGGCCCAAAAAGCACGTCGGCCCGCGGGAATCTCCCGGTAGTCCCGATGGCCAGAAATTTGACACCTTAATGGCTGAGATGAGAAGACTTACCTCTATACTGGGCTTTCTTTTTATCTTGATGCTTTCTCCGTTTTCGTCCCTGTGCACCAGAGGGTTTAGACCGCTTCATTTTCGATCAGCGCGCGCAGCAGCTGAGCACTCGCCTAACGTAACCAGAGAACGTAACGTAACGCAACTAACCCCCGCCCCCCTTTAGGAAATGATCGACAATAATCATTCATTCAATCTAATAATCAGGTTGACAAGTAATTAAACGTATGGCTAAGCGGCGCCTTAGGATGATCATGTTTAATAAACATGTTTTTGTTTCGCTTGTCATTCTAATTCTATGATTAATGGGAAGTAGGCCAGGGGCGACACTAGAGGGCGCCCGCGCCCCCAACACATTTGTCGCCCTAGGCAACCGCCTAGTTCGCCTATAGCAATCGCCGGCCCTGCCAAGTCGGTACAAATTTCTTTTTAAACGTCACGCCACGGTACCAGGTTTTCTCAAACCCGGGATGCGCGTGCATGCCTAAAGCGCGTGCAGTTGCGTCCTCTTCATAAAAGCGCTGAGACATGGCGACCGGCGGTGCTGCTGCTGTGGTGGCTGTATGCTGTAAATCCACTTGTTGATAAGAAAGGATGAAAAAAAAGAGCCACATATGGAAATATTTTGGATATTAGCTCATAATAGCGACGCAGGGCGCTTGTTTTTACAGGCGCGGCTAAGTTCATTGTTGCATAGCAACGACAGACGCCACGGGAGAGCAAACGCTTGTGGAAAGGAGAAAGCGGTGCGAACTGCGCTCTCCATGATGACGAGGAAGTATTAGCAAAGAATTCATTGATTTCTAGCCCTTGGATTAGCTTTACTACTATTTATGTAGATGAGAAATAAAAAGCCGGCTGAAATGCATCACTGTCATCATCGGTGAACAGATAATGGGTCAGATCCGAGTCTATTTTTGCTGCGCTGCTCATGCTTAAAAGTGAAAGCACACTTTTGATGGACAAAAAATAAATATGATTTCACACAAAAAGTGCCCAAAATGCACAGATTTAGCATGTCTAGTGTGTTTTAACAAGAACTGCAGTAGGCTATGTCAGAAAAGAAAATGAAGACATTTATAGAAAATGTACCCATTTAAACGTGTTTTTATTATTCATTTTGGGTAAAAGTATATGGTGTTTTATAAAAATAAAAAAAATCGTGGGGGGGGCCCCATCTAAGATTATCTTGTCCCGGGCCCAGACAAGACTGTCAGCTGGCCTGCCTGTACATCATGTGTTTATCTCTGAAATCATGCATCTGTGCTGCAAACTCAAAGATCTTAAAGAACACTCAGTTTCAGACGTCAGAATAAATGTTAAGCATGCGACAAAATAGATCAGATTCACACAAGATGACAGTCAGACAAAAGACATCAATGACAAATGAAATTTCTTCCAAAGCTTTATTTTCTCAGAAAGAAATGAGTATGAATCACAAACCGACAAATCCAGTACAGAAATCCAGCAAAGAAGAAAATCACTGACATTCAAAATGTATGTAAATATAGACTAGGGCTGAGTATCGACATAAATTTCACAATTTGATTCAATTCCAATCTCTATGTCGATTAATTAAAAAATATCAGGTTTGGTACATTTTTATCAAAGGAAAACAAATCTCTTCTTCGCTACAAATAATTTTTAGTGAAGTTTTGTTCACGCATCAACTGAAAAGATCGGGGATTTATGAATCGATATTGGTTCATCAAAATGAGAATTGATTAAAATCAAGAAATTCATATCTTCAACCCAGCCCTAATACAGACAGTTATTTGGGTAATTATATACCCCAAATTAACGGGTACATGGAAGGGAAGTACAGCAGCCTCAAAAGGTATTAAGACACTTGAAAATATCTGTATTTCATTGCACTAGATGAAATTCAATATCAAACCAAGTGTCATCTGTGCTCAAATGATGCTAGAGCTTTTCTCTTGTAATTGTTTATTATTTCTAAAGTGTCCAAATACTTTTTGATGCCACTGTAAACATTTGTAGATCACAATTTTATTTAAGATAACATATTTTAACCTTCACCAGTTCATTTTAATGCTTGTGCTTTAAAAGTACAAATATTCCATAATATATTTTAATCAATATGAGATCATTACATTTATCTATTGACATTTATTAATATAGCAGATTATTTTATCCAAAGCGACTAACAAATAAGGGAAAATCACATGCAATTTTATGGAAAGTACTAGATAATATGCACTAAACTAAAAACACCAATAGAGCAAAATGAAAGAAAACACAGTAAATGTTTGAATCCATCACCACATGAATTGATCTCAGAAAAGTGAAGGTTATATGGACTTTAAATGGAGATAATGTGACGGCAAAGGGCTTGATTGAATCTTCATAAACCGTCACTCGACTCTCTCTCTCCCTTGGTGCAGATGAAGTTGTGTGTCTCAGTTTCAGGAAGGCTGATCCAGGTCTGGTTGCTGGTCTGAATGGCTCCGGATCTCACTGTCGTAATGCAGTTCTCCTCCCCGGTGCCGTGACCCGGATGCCAGCGCTCATAGCACAGGGTCTGACCGTTGACCCAGAACCAGAGGCCGAGCACGCAGGAGTGACGGAGACCCAGCCACACGTGAGCGGTGGAGGCCATCGAGGACACGTTCTCCACCCGAAGCTGGATCTCCGGCGAGTCCACCGACACCAGGTCCATGTCTTCATCTCTGCAGTATTTCAGAGCTCCTGTCCACGTCAGATTCTGTCTGATCAGAACCAGTTTATCTGGAGCACAAACAGAAACAACAACGGTCACACTTTAGTTTAGGGTCCAAATCTCTATATTAACTGTTCATTACGACTTTTGCTTCAATAAACTCCTAATTACTGCTTATTAATAGTTAGTAAGGTAGTTAAGTTTAGGAATTGGGTGGATCAAGGGATGTAGAATATGATCATGCAGAATAATGCATTAATATGTGCTGATAAACAGCCAATATCCTGGTAATATGCATCCTAATAAGCACTAGTTTATAGTGAGAACTGGACCCTAAACTAAAGTGTTACCACAAAAACATTAAACATTTTTAGTTAAACGATACTTCTCCAAAAAAATGTAATTCTGTCATCATTTACTCGCACTCGTGTCGTTCCAAACCCCTGCATATTAAGATATTTTAATGAAACCTGAGATATTTCTGTCCCTCCATTGGAAATTCAGGTGAAAACTGAAATGATCCAGAACGTTCATTATAGCGTCATAAAACTAATCATATAAATCGAGCGGTTTAATCCAGATTCAGTTTAGGCTTTTATTTAAATCTAAAAATGATTGTCCCAAATAGAGCAGATCACATTAAGGAAACACTAACGCTTGTTTGCGTCACACGCTAGAACAAACCGGATTCTTTTGCTTCATGTTCATGCCAACTCGTGTCCCGCCGGGTCGATCAGCGCGGTGTTCTAGTGTAGCATCTACAGCTAACACAGTTCTGACTGGATCTCTGCCCAAAAACAGCCCTACCTAACATTTGCATCTAGTTTTTATTCGTTAATGAAAATGTCAATAGATTGTCGTCATAGTTTTTGTTATTCATCATTCAAAACGTTTTTTTAGTTATCGTCTAGTTTCTGTCTGAATTTTTTTTTTTTTTTTACACAAATTAACACTGATTAGTGTTGGTTAAAGTTGTAGTGCACTCATTCTGTGATTTAGAGTTTGTGTTGTTTCACACTTGTGTGTGTGTGTGTGTGTGTGTGTGTGTGTGTGTGTGTGTGTGTGTGTGTGTGTGTGTGTGTGTGTGTGTGTGTGTGTGTGTGTGTGTGTGTGTGTGTGTGTGTGAGTGTCTACTTACCGTCATAACACACAAAGGGATAAGGACCTGTACAAGGATCATCTACCCATCGTCCTTGGTGGTTTTTGATATCAATGGAGGTGCAGACATCATCTCTTCCAGATTTGCTGTCGGGTTCACCAGTGAGCCAGTGTGTGAATGTGGAGCTGCTGTTATCTGACCAAACCCAGAGTCTGTTCAGACCGATCCAGGCTCCATCAGCAGTAGTTAGGTTTTGTTCTATGATTTTCTTAGTCTCATTATTCTCACTCTGGTTCCTCACACTGACCAGATCTGTGTGATTCTGTCTACAATAACTCTGAGCTTCAGTCCAATTCTGTGTCACATTTACAGGGACCCATGTTTTACTGCTGGCTTTAAAAGAGAAAGACATTTGTCTAATGAAGTGAAATATTAGAGAAATTAAATGCATAAAAAATAAGAAAATATAAGGACAAAGAAACTGTCACGGTTCATGAATTTACTGTCTCTCTCTCGTCTCGCGTGTTGTTGTGTGTGTGTGTGTGTGTGTGTGTCTGTGGGCGTGGTCACTGATCACTGCTGATCAGCAGCGCCAGCTGGTTTCAATCCGTTTGTCTCTTTATAAGTTCAGTAACTGGTGTCTCATGTTGTCAGATCGTTGTGGTTTCCCCGGTGTGTTCCCGTGTTGCATGTTGGATCGTGTTCGTGTTGGATCGTGTTCGTGTTGGATCGTGTTCGTGTTGGACCGTGTTCGTGTTGGATCGTGTTCGTGTTGGATCGTGGATTCCCTGTGTACTTCGTCTCATCTGGATTCTTCACCTGCACTGGATTACCAAGCACTTCACTGGGTCTTCACGGGATATCACCAGCACCAGTCGCTCACCGAGGTCCCTGTGTCACCTACCATCTAGCGCTGATCGCCTGACCTGCACCTGAGGAGAGCTTCACCTGTGCTAGTGTCTGACCTTCGTGTCTGTGTACACTTCAATAAAGAGTCTTTTGCATTTACATCCGTCTCTGTGATTCGTTACAGAACGATCTGACCATTATTATGGATGTAGCAGAGACCACGACTTGGGACGAATTCGCCGCTCGAAGCATCTCGAGGATGGATAATCAAGAGGAGAGCATCGCCCAATCAGGTCGGGCGATTCAAGCGCTCGTGACACAGGTGTCCGAGCTCACCCAAAGGTTTCAACAACTCATACCTCCCACTGCGCCACCCACGCCGCCTGTTCAACCCATTCCACCGGAGCCGCCCCAGCAACGTGAACCTCGTCTTCCCACGCCTGAGGGCTATGCAGGTGAACCAGAGTACTGTAGAGCCTTTTTGACTCGTTGTTCGATGCATTTCTCATTACAGCCACTGACGTTCAGCCAGGAACAGACCAAGGTGGCCTTCGTTCTCACCCTGTTGTCTGGGAGGGCGGCTCTTTGGGGAACGGCGGTGTGGGAGAACCGTGATCCATGCTGCTCCTCGTTCCAGGCACTCTCCGAGGAGATGAGACGAGTGTTCGATCGGGCGGTAGCGGGTAGGGAGGCGGCCAGACTACTCGCTGAGCTCCGCCAAGGTAACGGCTCGGTGTCGGAATACTCCATTCAGTTCCGCACCCTGGCTGCAGAGTGCCGTTGGAACGAGGAGGCGCAGTGGGACCAATTCCTGCATGGGTTGGCTGATCGTGTCCAGAGGGAGATATATATGCTGGACCTTCCCCCTAACCTTAATGGACTGATCGAACTGGCATTAAGAGTAGACGCACGACTGGATCGCATGGGCCGCTTTCAGCAGAGGAACCCGTTTCGCGGCATGGAGACCCTGCGCGTCGACAATCTGGACACGGTCAGCCCCTCTTCTGATTCTGAACCCATGCAGGTGGGCAGAGCTCGGCTTTCCCGGGAGGAGAGAGAACGGCGGAGGTCCCAGGGACTTTGTTTGTACTGTGGGAAAGCGGGCCACTTCATCTCCGCTTGCCCGGTAAAAGATCGAGCCCGGTAGTAACAATGAGGCTACTATCGGGTGGGATCTCCGCTGGGAAGACTTCATCATCACCATCATCATCTACTCTCCTTCCGGTAAGACTAAGGTGGGCGACTCACACGCACGACACTGAGGCTTTGGTGGATTCAGGAGCTGAAGGTAATTTTTTGGACTCTGGACTGGCTCAACGTCTTCATCTTCCCATCTCCAGGCTCACACACACGATTTCCGTTAATGCTCTCAATGGACAACGACTTCCCCAGATTTCTCACATTACCGAACCCATCACACTCATAACATCTGGCAACCACACTGAGACAATAACATTTCTTCTCATGGACTCTCCACTAGCACCCTTGGTGCTGGGTCACCCCTGGTTACTGCAACACAATCCCAGAATTGATTGGGGTCACAATTCTGTTTCCATGTGGAGTAATGCGTGTCATGAGTCTTGTCTTGTGTCAGCGTGTTCGTCTGTTCCTGTGTCTGTGTTTCAGGAGGAGGCAGTGAATTTGTCTAACGTGCCCGAGGAGTACCAGGATCTGAAGGAAGTGTTCAGTAAGTCTCGGGCTGCTTCTCTTCCTCCTCATCGTCCCTATGACTGTGCCATAGATTTAGTGCCAGGTCAGTCTCCGCCTAAAGGCAAGTTATATTCACTTTCTGTTCCAGAGAGTGAGGCTATGGAGAAATATATTTCTGATTCTCTAGCTTCCAAATTCATTAGACCTTCCTCATCTCCAGCGGGGGCGGGGTTCTTTTTTGTGGGAAAGAAGGATGGATCTCTGCGACCGTGTATTGATTACCGGGGGTTGAACAACATCACGGTAAAGAATACTTATCCTTTGCCGTTGATGTCTTCAGCCTTCGAGCGGTTACAGGGAGCATCCATTTTCACAAAATTGGATTTACGTAACGCTTATCATTTGGTTCGCATAAGGAAGGGCGATGAATGGAAGACCGTGTTCAATACCCCTAGGGGGCACTTTGAATATTTGGTCATGCCTTTCGGGCTGTCCAACTCCCCAGCGGTCTTCCAGGCACTCGTCAATGACGTGCTGAGAGATATGGTTGACCAATTCATTTATGTCTACCTGGATGACATTTTGATTTTTTCATCGTCTCTCCAGGAACATGTTCAGCACGTCAGACGAGTGCTTCAGAGGTTGCTAGAGAATGGGCTTTTTGTCAAGGCGGAGAAATGCGTTTTTCATGCACAGTCTGTTCCTTTCCTAGGGTACATCGTCTCATCTGAGGGAATGCGCATGGATCCTGACAAGGTTAAGGCTGTGATAGATTGGCCTAGTCCAGATTCCCGTAAGGCCCTACAGAGGTTTCTGGGGTTTGCCAATTTTTATCGGCGTTTTATTCGCAACTTCAGCCAGCTAGCCTCACCTCTGACTGCCTTGACCTCCCCCAGAACGACGTTCAGGTGGTCTGATGCAGCTGAGGCTGCATTTACCAAACTCAAGAGCCGCTTCAGTTCGGCTCCCATCCTCGTTGCCCCTGATTCATCACGTCAGTTCGTGGTGGAGGTCGACGCGTCAGAGGTGGGGGTAGGAGCAGTTCTATCCCAGCGCTCTCCTTCAGATGACAAGATGCATCCTTGCGCGTTTCTTTCTCATCGTTTATCACCTGCCGAACGTAATTATGACATTGGCAACAGAGAGTTGTTGGCAGTCAAGTTGGCACTGGAGGAGTGGCGTCACTGGTTAGAAGGGTCAGGGGTACCTTTTATCGTTTGGACCGATCATAAGAACCTAGAATATATCAGAACCGCTAAGAGACTCAACTCTAGGCAGGCTCGGTGGGCACTTTTTTTCGGACGTTTTGACTTTTCTCTCTCGTACCGCCCGGGTTCTAAGAACATCAAACCCGATTCTTTATCTCGTATTTTTGACCAATCCGAACGCCCGGCTACTCCCGAGTGTATTTTACCTGAGACATTAGTGGTCTCCACTCTCAGATGGGAGGTCGAATCGAAGGTAATGAAGGCCTTAGAAGGGGTAACGCCTCCGCCCGATTGCCCACCGAACCGTTTATTTGTGCCGGAGGGGTATCGGTCCGACGTCATTCGGTGGGGTCATTGCTCCAGTGTAGCTTGTCATCCTGGGGTCAATCGCACCAGTTTTTTGGTCAAACAACGATTCTGGTGGCCATTAATGGCTCGTGACATCCACAGTTTTGTTTTGGCTTGCTCGGACTGTGCCACTGGTAAGACTTCCAATCGACCCCCAGATGGGTTACTCCAACCGCTGTCTGTCCCTTCGAGACCCTGGTCCCACATTGCGCTAGATTTTATTACCGCCCTCCCAGGGCAAGACGGTCGTTTTGACTGTCGTGGACCGGTTCTCGAAGGCGGCTTATTTTATTCCCTTGCCTAAATTACCCTCAGCCAAGGAGACAGCGGTAACTGTCGTTGATCACGTCTTTCGCTTACATGGCCTCCCGACGGACGTGGTTTCCGACAGGGGTCCCCAATTTGTGTCCAAATTTTGGCAAGAGTTTTGTAAATTACTGGGGGCGACGGTCAGTCTTTCTTCGGGTTTTCACCCCCAAAGCAATGGTCAGACCGAGAGAGCCAACCAGGATTTGGAGAGAGCGTTGCGATGTCTGGTTTCCAGGAATCCTTCCTCCTGGAGTCAGCAACTCTCTATGGTGGAGTACGCCCACAATTCGTTGCCAGTGTCAGCCACGGGCCTCACTCCGTTTGAATGTAGTCTAGGTTACCAGCCACCAGTTTTTGCTAGTACGGAATCCGAGGTCGCGGTCCCCTCCGCTCACGCCTTCGTCCAGAGGTGTTTCCACACTTGGAAAAGAGCCCGTGAGACTCTTCTCCAAGTGGGGGCGCGCACCAAGGCTAAAGCCGATCGCCACCGGTCGAAGCCTCCCGTATACGTCGTGGGTCAAAAAGTGTGGCTTTCTACTAAGAACATTCCTCTCCGGTCCGTAGCTAATAAACTTGCTCCCAAATTTATCGGCCCGTTCCCTGTCACCAAAATCATTAGTCCGGTGGCAGTCCGCCTCAAACTTCCTCCTGCGTACAGGAGAATTCATCCCGCCTTCCATGTGTCAAAGATCAAACCTGTGTTTCATTCACGAATTAATCCGCCGGTCCCGGTTCCCCCCCCGCCGCGTCTCGTAGATGGGGAACCAACGTATTCGGTTAATCGTATTCTGGACTCGAGAAGGAGGGGACGCGGATTTCAGTACCTGGTGGACTGGGAGGGTTACGGTCCGGAGGAGAGAAGTTGGGTTCCTGCTAGAGACATTCTGGATCACTCCCTTATCGATGATACAATCGACAGGTAAGGCCATCGGGGAACGCCAGGAGGCGTTCCTAGGGGAGAGGGTACTGTCACGGTTCATGAATTTACTGTCTCTCTCTCGTCTCGCGTGTTGTTGTGTGTGTGTGTGTGTGTCTGTGGGCGTGGTCACTGATCACTGCTGATCAGCTGCGCCAGCTGGT